AATTCTCGTTATTCGACCTATTTAATTCCGTTATTGGCTAACGCGATTAAGTCGACGATTATATACGAGAATAAGCGATAAAAATCATTCGTACGATATAAATTGGAATCAGATCCACGGGCCACTAAACTATGACGAGTTACAATATACACTTTACATAAGTTACCGCAGTTAGCTTAGTGTTATTTATAAGTGTGGAAAAGGTAATTAGAACCAAGTGCCAAACAAGTTTTTAATCAAATATACTTCGTCTGTAAACAGCATGTTTTTTCATAATAGTATGTTGTAGTATAAAGCTATTAAATATCTCCTGTACCAAAAACGTTTTGGGAGTGCTTCATACGCAACGTATACGACTAGTCTCAGTAAAAATATATACATGTTAAGTACAAAAACAGTAAATCATCCAGCAAAATAGTTAAACTGGCTCGAATTATTCTCGGCATTTACATTATTCAATAGATTTGCCGTGTATAAGGCCATTCGTGTGAGTAGTAATGGTCCAAAAGCATCCAGATTAAAAACGCAATATAGCAACTAATTCCAGGGTGTTTGGTGCTTTTGAACGTTACGTCACTCGATCGAGTCAAAACAGTTGAATTAGTCCCTATAATTGTGTGCTGTCATTGTATGAACCATCTAAAATGACCTTATGATTGCAGAAAATTTATATATTAAATTCACCATAAGTTTTTGTGATGTTGTACTTGTTGCTTGGCGATGGAACTCGAAAATTGGAAATTAAGCAGGCAGTCGTCGGAAGAAAAGATATTACAGGATAGTGTATAGTTTAAAACAGATTAGAACGCTGAGTGAATAAAGATTATAAAGAATTAGGTCCAGATAACCATTCAGGATTTGCTTATGTTGCTAGTCAATGTATATTTACGTCATTTACAGGTCAAATTCGCCAGAGCTTGATGTTTTAACAAGTTTATTTCGATAAAAATGTAAATGCTATTAAAGCTAGTTAATAAAACATCTCGGCCAATAATTAATATAGATGAATGGTTATTATTACCGATTGAGCTAGTAAGTTATGAGCACTAATAAACATTACACTACGATAATACATGTGAGCATTACTCAGAAGACTGATAGAATACTTGGATAACATAGGTAGAAATCGACCGATGATGATACAGTTAAAATGTAGATATACGGTCTACTTAATAGACCTAATCCTAATAGTTAGTTTGTAATAGATAAATACACGGAAGTTCGTAAACCGTCAAATGACAAATAGAAATCACTACGAGTCCATTTGCTTGTGAGTGGTAGGTGGTCGTTCAGAATCGTGTGATTCCTAGTAAGACTACGTAAAAGTTCGGTATCAAACGGGCATCCACGGATTTTAGTGATAGTTAAAGGGCAGCTGAAGCTTGTTGTCCATCGTTCAACGATGTTGTAGGCCGCTGTTTCAGCAGTGGTGTTGTTGATAAATACTACTTCTGGGCACCATGTGAAACGGTCTACACAAGTTAGAAGATAAGAGTGAAGGCCCTGCCAAATACAGATGAACATGGTCGGAACGAACAACGGGAGTTGTGAAAGAGCCTAAACGATCTCCTTTATGTCCGGTCTCTTTAGATTTCTGGCAGCTTACACAGGAGTGTGCTCACACTTTCGCGTCTTTATTCATACCGGACGAAAAAATTCGTTCTGCTATGAGCTTGATGGTCGTTCAAACACCAGGATGATATAGTTTGTACAATGTATTGAAGAAGTTGCGTCGATAATGTTTCGGCACGATTGGACGATCCCTGCCTGTAGATGTGTCGCACAGTTAAGCTTCCTCACATGTTCTTATGTGTTTAAAACGTAGTTTCACAGTTGTCAAATATAACTTTGCTGAAGATCGGTGTCTTCTTTTTGAAGCTAGGTGATCCCTTGGAAACTATTTAAGGAAGTTAAACGAGACAAGGCGTCTAAGACTACATCGTTTGCTTCGAAAATGTGTCATATATCTGTTCTAAACTGAAAAATGTAGTCCGACGCTGGATACCTTAGAGGGGAGTACTTGTCTAAAGATGGACTTAAAGAGAAAACAAGAAGTTTGTGACTGGTGAAAAGAGTGAATTCTTTGCCTTCAGCTGAGTGTTGAAAGTGTCGTACGGCACAATACATGGCTAGGAGTTTCCTACCGAAAGTGCTATGTCTACAATCGTCTTGCGAAGAATGCCGAAGGCTGCTAGGTGTGGTTAATCAACTGTCGTAAGACTCCTCGAACTAACGGGTTGGATTCGTCTGCTGCGATACTAATGTGTGTTTTGGTGTCTGAATTTGCATGTATAATTACTCTTGCGATAAATTCCTTAATTGTGGAGAATTCTTCTTTCGCATTATCGTCCAAGTTGATGGGTTTCGCATTTCCACGAACTTAAAGGTTTCATAAGGCACAGGCAGTTTTGTATGAAACTTACTAATCCGTAAAACGTGCGTATTTGCTTGATTGCGGTTGATTCCAGGTATTGAAGTATCGACTTTTCAGAGGTTGGATGCATTAAGCATCAATATTCTGTCCGAGAAAATCTAGAGAGACAGTGCCGACAATTCTGAAGCTTTACAGTAATTTCATGTTTTCGCAATCGTTGTAAAACAAAGTCCAAATGCTGGAGATGAGATTCTGTATCCGAACTAGTAGTCATTTAAATGTGCGTATACGAATTTGAGACCTTGAAAGACGTCATCGATGGATCTCATCAAGTTTTGTGCAGCATATTTTTAGCCGGTAAGCATGCGCGAAAATGTTTGTAGTTCGGTGGGGGTGGTGATAGCTAGCTTAGGTTCCGTGGCCATCGAAAATCGGCCATACGCTTTGATCTGAACGATCTTTGGAAAAACAGTTGTGTCTTTTAAGGTGGCTATCGTATCGCAAATGTGAGTCAACAAGTATGTAGAATCCAAACTAAGGTTTGGATAGATGAATAGCCGTCCAGGTACGTTAGACACGCGCCCTTGCCCATCAAAATCAAAACAAGTAATCGGGTAAATAGCGGTTCTATAATTCATCATAAATTTAAATGTAAACCGTGACCTAAACAAATATTACCACCCGGCTATTCAACCAATAATTGTTCAATCAATCAAATCTAAACTACATTAAATAAAGTTGATAAAAGATGTGGGAAAATTGGGTGATCTTATCCGCAACGCAACCATGTAAACTTAATGTACCGATCGTCTGTGCGTTCAAGTAACCACAGATTTTGACATTTCATAATGTATTTTTAATTAAATAACTAGATTATATAGCTAATTTTGATCTTTTTATATATTTTTATTCGCCATGTTCGACTGCGTTACACTGCACGTCCATTGCATGCTGGGATGATATCTCAAGACATAGTGAGTTTATTCACATAGTTGATTGTTTCCAGATAGACAGTCAGTGCATGATTTTACTGTAGAAAGGTTTATTGTACTATAAACTATGTTTTTATGAACAACTGCCTGTTGTCTTCAGTCGGGAAGCAATATATATATTCTTTGTCTTCTAATCGGTAAGTTCAATTGGCCTATATTTCGTGTTTTTGTTTTATCGTCTTAATTATGTCCATTTAACTACTTTAAGCAATATGCTTGTGCAAATGAAACAATAACTATGACACTTGCTTAGTTTAGTATTCTTGGTTGTCGTATAATTCAGTTTAGTTGAAAGAATTATGGTATAGTGCTTGAAGTCTGTAACGAAACAGATCAGTTTAGTAAGTAGAGTTGCCTGTTTCTGATGAATATACTGATTCAAATCAGTCTGATTAAAAATAGGGAAAAATGCTTCTGGTACTGTTGCTGTTATACATTATAAGATAGCTTTAAGTACGTTTGGTGTTTATTTGTAGACAGTACGTCTAACACTGTTCATGTTTCAAGACCACTGTCATTAAACAATTTCCCCGGCAATAACATCGGTAGCAGGATAGCTAAGTGTCTGAGCTTTTAGTTGCCTGCAAAACAGCAGTATACAGTGTTAGATGAGGAGTGTTCAGTCCTAATTAAATGCTGCTGGCTGTGGACAAATGTTAAGAGTCTTTTTGACAACTGGAACTTTTAGTTTATCAGATACTAAATCAACTTGTATATCTTCCTGTAAAGCCAGACGCAGATGCATGGGTATACTTAAGTGGGAGCAAAATAATAAAAGCTGTGCGATGCTGTACCTTGCATAAGTTTTAGTAGCTGGCGTGATCTGATATTTATGAAGTCGAGGTAAATCACAGCTGGTTAAATTCTTTCCTTTGAAACATGTAATTTGTTTAATTACTTTTTCAACATTACTATCTTTTATTTTGAATGTAACAGGAACGAGCCGTGACAGATCTTACAAAGTCATTCAGCTTTATAACTATGGCCCTATGAAACTTTATGGGAGACACAAGTAACAGCAGATTATTAAAAGCATATCGAACGTCCACTTTAGTCTCACAACCATTTCCAGTGTTTTGGAGTTACTTCTTATACCCTGTCGTTGAAAAAAATCAACTACTGCAGCTTCACTTTACCAAAGCTACAATGTAATTTGGAACCTCGTGTAAATATTTGTTTCATATCCCATTGTTAAATAAAGTTCGTGAATAAATTTATAGACTTGGTGCTATTTCGTTTTATTTAGTTAATCGTTGTAAGAAGCCTGTGTGCACCTAGTTGATATACAGTAATTCCAAGTTATGACAGTTGACTCAGTCACACATCCTGACAGTCCCTGCTTGTAATCTTAGTTTCTGACTGAAATATTATATGATAAGCAAGCAACGGGAAACCCCTAAGTCCGGGCTTTCTTATAACCTATTTCAGCCGACATGATATGTTGCATTAGTACGCTGGTGGGTACGCGTTTAAGCCAGTTATTTATTGGGATGCCGTCGGATTTCCAATCAATACCTGAGCTACACTGACGGGTCACTAAGCATCGTGAGGGTACGCGCTTGTCAAAACACAACTACAGGCCCATTCAATGTTTTCACCCCATTATACGAAATATAGCAAGAAACTCTGTATTTACCGAATACAAGACTTTTATTTAATAAGGTATTAACAGAAACTGGCAACGCGGCAGACGCACATGACGAGATTTGTGTTCATTGATTATCTGAAATAGAGAGTACTAGTATTAGCTTAATAGATGCATTTATAAATACCTAGATTTTGGTTTCCAAAGTACCAGTGGACTTACCATGTTCGGAAACTGTAGCCAGACGCCTCATGCGTATTAATTCATCAACTTGATCTATCAATTGCCTTAGTGTGTCCTGCACCGTTGTCTGTCCGAAAAGTGTACTGAGCGTGTGGATTTTACTGCGTAGAGTGCGATAAAGTCTGTTCGTTTCATTATAATCTGGAGACGGAATAGCTGGTATATTTCCATCTACATCTTGAATAGCCTGCCAAGTCCATCTGCAACAGAGCTTCAAAACTAAATCAACTACTTCATGATACAAAGATGAACATAACATACCTGTGAACTCTGGCATTTGTAGATGAGTAAAAACCATGTGTTTACATGGAATTCGACAGGTTTTAAATAAACGGCAGGTGCAAGTGCCGTTGCTTATATCCACTACCGGACATTGATGGCCGTCTATGAAGAACACAAAGGGTGACTGGATATTTTTGATGTACATCAGTCCCCTATTTTTATAGTCTTTAAGGACTATAAAGCCAGCATAGGTGGTTAGCTTGCTTAGTAGAGGCATTAAGCATTCTTCAGCTACGTATCTGCGTTTGTGACTACAGTGTAAGCTGGATTGTAGTGACCTACGTTTGCCTAATTGCCTCTGCCATGTAAATGTTTTCCACATACATTTACTCAACGCGTCTCGGTTAGACAACTTTCTCTTCAGTTGTCTGTGCGCACTTTCAACCCGGTTGTTCGTGTTGTTACCCAACGTAACGACATTGCTATTGAAAGCTGCGGCCCAAGTTTCTTTCCTACTCATCCAGTTCTTGTTTAAGTAGGCTGCGATGCGTCTGCTGCGTACACTGATTATGCGTCGTGTCTGATTAAACTTAGCTACTGTTTGTTCACGTACCAGTTGACATAAGTACTGCTTGATTATTGGATTGCGGGTCTTCTTACACATAGCTCTACACACGTGAAAAGAGCATAGAGCTATGTGGGCAGTACGGTGCGTTAATTCAACAGCGGATATGATGGGTCTTGCACAATCCATCACAAACGTTTCCGTTTGACTGGTTCCATTCATGATCTTCTTAAAATGATCTAGTATCCATACTACATCAACCTTCTTCTCTTCCTTAGTCCAAGCAAACATAACTGGGACTCCATGCCCGCAGTTATCTGTACAAACCAGCTGAAAGAGTTTATAACTAAAGACAATTAGTACGCAGGAAAATTTTTACTTACTTTCCCCTGTTCGTGTTGTATGTTGAGTCCAAACACACAACTTCAGGGAACCGTTTGTACGTTACAATTTGCTCGTGTGTACTAAATGCTATCTTTGTGACCTGGTTAGCCACACCCCCATAAGAGACGAACAATTTCCCATTGTTCCTTAAGGTCGCAATTACATCGTTTAAACTTCCACAACCTAAGAAACTGTAGATATATGGGATAAGCTTACGTTCGACAAATTTATATTTTAAATTATTGACATAATGCACTGTTATTGTCTTTTCGAAATTTTTTTCTGCATAATTAACAATCGATTCAGCACTACTTCCGGTCTCAACCATCGGTAGAACAACTTGCAGCTGATCTTTACTTAGTCTTCTGAACCAAGGATCATTTTTCAAACACTTTTCATCACAAGGATGGTTATGTATCATCCTCGACGACGATATGACGAACCGGTTCACAGCATATCGTAAACGAAACATGGCCTTGCAACCACTAAACTTTGATCTATGAAAATTGAAAACAATAATTATAATCATTTACCCTTTTACTCTCTGACCATGGCCCTCCGGCTTCTTTTTATGGCCAAAAGAACATACATACACTACATACTGGTAGCGCATTTCCGGCTTTTCTTTGTTCAGCCTGCTTTCACGTACTACATAATGAGTCCAAGTCATCTATTACTTTTTAGATGGTGTATTATCAATAACAAACCTTTTGCAACATATCGATAGCTTCTCTGACTTGCTCCCAGCTTGTCAGCTGCCTGGGTCTCATAATTCTTTCGAAGACATCACCAGTATCCACAGCCACTGGACACTCAGTATTACTTTGACTGGTTGATGGAGTAGCGTGATCCATAATACTGCAGAAAATAACAAATCTTTCATTCTGCCTGATAATAAATAACAGTTAGGAACGAATATGCGGCCAGTTACAGTCACATGCGGCAGCAACATTTATTTTAGCTAAAAAAAACTGACTTCGGTTTTCGATATCTAAAAAACAATGCTCAAAATATAACGGATTAAGATTTTATGACGTAAGAAAAACGACCTTGCCTGCCAGCTAGGAACGATTATGCCAACATTTAGAGTTCCATATGGAACTCTATATATACAGCCTCAACACTCATTTAAGCTAACAAAACTAACCTTGACTCCCGACATCTGAAAAAAAGAACTCTGAACAAAACGCATTAACATTTTATGACACAAGACTAGCCAGATTGCCTGAAGAAATACATTGACTTGAGTAGAAGCAGCAAAAACCCAGAAAAAATCGCAGATTCGGAGTAAATTTCAAACTAACATATGGAACATTACACTAACTGCGGCATTTTAGCACACCGAAACATTAAATTACATAGCTACACAAAAGAAATAGCTGAAAGAAACACAGAACGAAGAAAGCCGACCGCCATTGCTTACAAAGATGGCGGATATAACAATTCCCGCCTCATTCTGATTGGTTGCTAAGCTGAAGGGCACATTTACGAAATTGAGTTGCGTTTAATTGCAGCCGGGAAAATTACCAGTTACAACAAATGAACGCTATTCTATCCTGACTGGATAGATCACACACAAAAGGAAGAGGAAATCAATATGGCTGCCGCCAAGAACAAGTGTCAAGTAAAACAACATAGATACAGTTTGGGAGGAAGCACAAATACTTAGTGAAGGTGTAATAAAAATAAAAACTATGATAAAATACAACTATTAACAATCCAAATGTAATCAAAAAACTAACAATGTACAACTAAGGGGATCAATAGGAACAAAATGCAAGTATATACATGGAGGGATTTTCACAAACACAAAAAGCATTCAAAATGGATCTTACACCGGCCTCCGAAATCCCTCCATATCACACAAGCTACCTTGATGCCTATGGTCATGGTCCGTTATATGACATATTACACTATAGGAACGAGCAGGACTTACAACAGCACGCCTACTCGACCTACTTACATTGATAATACGAGAGACTGGTTCGAGCCTCCAAGGAGGCATACTTTACGTATATCTCTTCTGATTAATCCGCCGTTCGTACGAACAACCACCGTTCTAACTCTTCCGTCGTCATCTATTTTACAATCTTCAACTACTCCTAAGGGTCACCTTCCACGGGTCGATATGTCAGAAGCCACGATTACTACATTTCCTTTCTGAAAATTACGGTGTTCAACTCACCATTTTTGACGTTTTTGTAGAGACGGTAAAAACTCTCTTAACCACTTTTTCCAAAACACATTAGCGAGATGATTAACCTGTTTCCAACGTTCGTCGTATTTATCTCCGACGCTACCTTCTTCGACTATTCCGTTACATTCTCTCAATAATAACAAACTATTCGGCGACATGGCTAGTTTATCGTTAGCATCTTGGACGACCAGAGTTAAGGGTCGATCGTTCAATATCCTTTCAATTTCAATCAAATAAGTGCTTAAGGTCTCATCGGTTAGAGTCTGCTCTCTAGTTATCAACAATAACAGTCGGGGTATAGACCTAATCATCCTTTCCCAGACTCCACCCCTGTGGCTGGATGAGGGGGGGGGGTAAAATGCCACTGAATCGGCCTAGCTGACAGTTCCTTGTCTATCTTCTGCTGATTCAACTTTTGCACAAATCTCTTTAGTTCAGAGACCGCACCCACGAAATTCGATCCATTGTCACTGTAAATTTCTGCAGGTTTCCCTCTTCTTCCAATAAAACATAACAAGGCCATTATAAACGAATCAGTATTCAAACTATGTCATTCCAATATGTACTACCCGGGTTTGCAGGCAAGTAAATACACATTAACGAATCCTTCACGACTCGATGAACGAAGTACCACTATGAATTCCATGAACCTTCAAAGCCAGGCTACGGCCCTAACTAATTTCAACCACTCGGAATAATAAAAGAGAATAGGTGACATGTTGTACTTTATACTACTAAAGTTAACCACAGCAGTTTTTCTAAACACAATATCGTCAGGTTCCGGGCATTCAGTTACTGCTATATAAAATTCGCCATTCAATAAAGTAGGACATTTGAACCAAGATTCAAGATCAGTCATTTTTTGTATTCCTCTCGAAGTCCAATCAGCTCGGTTCTGTGACGACTTCACATAACTCTACTGTTCAACTTTCGTATACTGGTGCACAACGACGAGGCGGTTGATTACATAGGTGCTATATCGGTTCTCGATGTTCTTGATGTAGTACAACACTGCCATGGAATCTGTATGGAAGTTTACTTTGCAGAAAAATTAGGCAGACTTCTCTGTAAGACTTCACTAAGCCTCACACTCAACACTACTACCTCCAACTCAAGCCTCGGTATGGTACTTGTTTGATAGGTGCCACCCTAGACTTGTTGTACAGCAAAATACAGTAGGGTAGTTCTTTCAAATAACTGACTCGCGCGTACGCAACCGACCCATAACCGATCTCTGAAGCGTCACTGAATAAATGCAATTCAACTTCCGCGTCGGGTTCGTCGATTCTCTTCTTGATACCCCAAGCTACCGTAGCATGACCTATTTGACGAATACATTTTACCCAATTTAGCCACGCGGACTTGTATGGCTCGTTGAGAGGCTGATCCCACCCTATTTGGGACTTACATAGTTTTTGCAAGAGGACCTTGGCAGTAAGACAGACTGGAGCAATTAAACCCAAAGGATCGAACAGAGAAGAAACTATAGATAGAATCCCTCTCCTAGTCAGAGGCCTTTCAGTTGCATCGAAGTAAAACTTGAACACATCTTGTTCAAAATTCCATTCTGCTCCTAGAGTCATAACTCGTTGACATTTCTATCAAAGACTCTTCCTTGCGTACATCAGGCAAGATGGTCCTTACTTCATCTGAGTTGTTGACCCACTTCTTTAATTTACAACCTCCTCTACATAATACTTCACTTATATGCTTAACGAAACTTTTTTGCTTGATCACAAGTGGGAAAGGATATTTATCAATCATCAACATAGAAATTATTCTTGACAGCATCTACAACATAACCATCATAACGTCAGAGAATATTTGGGCCGTCTTATTCAAGGTGAAGTTTGCACAAAATGGCGATGATGTGGCACCAAATGGATGAGATGCCAGTTGAAACTCCCTCGACATGTCTCCCTCCCGCCAACACAGAAATCTTAAAGCTCCTCGATCAGACTCAGGGACCTTCACTTGCATGAACATTTCTTCAACATCTGCAGAGATTGCAACTGCTCCCTTACGAAAACGCAATAATATAAACACTAACTCGGCAGTGGTATCGGGTCCTGGATAAATCATATCGTTTAAGGAAACACCTGAAAACTTGGCGGCACAATCAAGGACCGCCCTAAGTTTTTCTGGCTTTTTCGGATTTAACACTGCATGATGAGGTAAATACCACTGGGGACGATAATTCGGTTGCAACTGTATTTCAGGGACCTTCTCTGCATAGCCCTTTGTAAAATTACTTTTAATACTTTTGGTATACCTCGCATGCAGACTGTCATCCTTCAACAATTTACATTTCAAATTCTGTAATCTACTGTTGGCTACTTCATAATTTCCCACCTTGATATTTGAATTCTCTTTCCATGGTATAGGGACTACGAAATGGCCGTTGTCGAAGTGCGTGCCTTCTTCCACAATCTTTATAGCCGCCTTATCTTCTAACTATAGTGATTTATCACTTGAATAAGCGTCGGAAAACTCTACGTCATAAAACTTACGTATTTCGTTCTCTAATGTCTGTATCTTACTGGTACGATTAACAACTCTTTTCCTATATTCCGGATACGATGCAGGTCTGAAGACCGTCCACCCCAGCAACGTTTTCACAGAGTGCGGGTTTTTTCGCTCACCCAATCGCTGATCTAACACCCAGTGTGCTTCGGGCACGTTGCAATCAATCAACAGCAGAACTTCTTCAGAGTCTATGTTATCCATTGGTACATCCCTTAGATGCGGCCATGTAACTAGATTGTTCACGGTCGGCCATTTTGTCTTATGACTTGTTATACCTGCCACAATCAGAGCCCTTTTGATCGTAACATGTTCAGACCGATCTAAAGAATATACCTCAAAAGGAGTCTTCGTGACCGTCATTGTTCTATCACCACTCAAAGTCCCTAATACCACTGACGCTTGGTCTTTCTTCAGTCCGAGATGCCTCAAACAGCTCGATTTTATCAACGTCATATCAGACCCGTTATTCAACAAGGCATAACCCACCATTTCGGCATTTCCCACCATCAACCGTGCGGAAATCATTCCTAAGCACACTTGGCTACTTAGGGATTTAGTAAATCCACAGCAATTCTGGGTTTCAGACTTATTTACACCGTTGTTTGTCGTGTTAGTGTGCAGCAGAGCGTGATGTCTGTTCTCACAACTGTCAACGTTTTAAAGGCTTGGTATCTTACATTCATTAACCTTATGTCCTTGTCTAAGACAGACAAAACAGATACCTTTGCTTTTAGCGTGGGGCCATCGGTCTTGGACTGTAAGCGCTAAGAACTGTGGACATTTATAGATAGCATGGTCGTAGGAACACATACTGCATTTAGTTTTTGCTGCTGAACTGTTCCCCTGCTCCGATTGCGCGTGACAGTTTGTCTTTACATCATGTCCTTTTCTTGAACGATTCGCTAACCGTCCAAATCTACTACAAGCTACACTCGCACGCGATGCGATAAACTGAGTGAGTTCACAAAACGTCGGCTCTCTATCATCTTCAGTCAATTTATCCACCACAAGTTGAGGCAAGAGTCTCACTATTCTTTCCAAAGTAACTAAAGAATTTAGATCGGAGGTATAATTCATCTGTTCCAAGACCATAGCACAGTTTTCCATTTTAATAGCCAAGTTTGATAATTCCTCCGCGTTAGTATAATCAAAATTTACAGCATTTAATAAATCTTCTAATGTTTCTCGAGCGATTACATGAGACTGTCCAAATAAACGTTTTAGGATTTCCCTCGCCCTCTTGTAACCAGAAGATGCTTCCATCATGACACAACCCTCAATAGATGTTTTCGCCTTTCCCTTGCAATAGTGCATTAAATAGAGCAAACGTTGGCTATCATCAGTGACTCTTGACGTTACGCCAGTCTCAAATTGCCTTATAATCTCCCAATACCCTCTTGCCTGACCATCGAAATAACTCAATTCAACCTTTGATAATTCTAGACCAACAACAGGTGCTATAGGCAAAACGCTCTTTCCTGATAATTCAAGCCTTTGCTTCTCCTTAAAACCAAGATTTTTTGCGTCATCTGTCATCGAATTAAGACTAGAGTCACTACCATGATAATCAACCCTATTCGAGTCTCAACCATGACACTTAAGGACATCAAAATGTACTTGCTTGGTAATAGGGGATTCTTCATTAACATCAACGAACTTTGAGCTTGATTTCCTTTGACGATTGGCATGATAAGCGAAACGACCAAATATTTCCAGAAACAATAATCGAAATCCGCGAACGACTGTCAATCGAATTCGACCAATTAATATTTGCTTAGAACTGTAGAATCCAAACTACGGTTTGGATAGATGAATAGTCGTCCAGGTAAGTTAGACACGCGCTATTTACCCGATTACTTGTTTTGATTTTGACGGGCAAGGGCGCGTGTCTAACGTACCTGGACGGCTATTCATCTATCCAAATCGTAGTTTGGATTCTACAAAGTAACGTAAGTGATTTCCGCATTCAGTCGCCGATGATGACCGGTTTGATGCTAACCACTGTTATCCTTTTTAAGGAACATGTGTAAGGGAGATTAACGGCGGCAGTTCGATGGAAGAATACGTCCCAACCCCAGGATGCTAGTCGGTGAGCTTTCGAGAATACATGTGGTCATATAGTCGCGATGTGTTGTGCAACATCGCTGGTTACAGACGGCAATGTCGGTCGCGTTTGGTACACTTCAGGGTACTTACCGAGTATATTTTCATTGTATGGATAGATCGTATACTTTACTGTGACTGGGAATAATCTACAACCGGAAAAAGAAGTCACACGAACAGATAAACTAGTATTTTCGTCTACTAACCTCTGTTTGCGCGTTTCAATTAGTATATTATGATGTTGTGGCAGGTCTATACCAATAACTGGCATAGGAACATTTGCAACAACAGGAATCCAGTGAATGAGTTTGCGTAAATCTACATCGAGATAAACATATCATTTACCATATGTGGCGATCAGTTTCCAATTTACCACCTGTAGGTTGAAAATCGGTTCGTGCAGTCGGTCCTTGGATTTTGCTGGAGGTAGAGAACTTTCATCATCACATCAGTGATGTATAACAGACGGCTGCTTTAACGTGTGATGATGAGGGAGTTTCGTTTAACCTTTTACGTGTCGTATGGTTTAGGGCTTGAGAAAGTCTATGGTTTCCTGCGGTTTCTAGATGACTTACCACACTTATTGTGGTGCTAGCACCAATAAGATTTATCTGCCTCTCGTAGTTTAGCGACAGATACTTTCCGTGACGACCATACTAGAATTTGAATATTTGGATAACCGGTCAAAGTGTGACACGTGTCCGTAAAATAACTTTGCGTTGAGGCTTTTTTTTAACAGAATAAACCTCGGTGTTGATGTTCTGGTGATCTTCAAATTTCGGTTGATAGATAAATTTGTTTCGTCTACAGCGCTGTTTCGGAATGTGACAAGCACTTCCTGCACCTTCTGGGGCCTAGACAAGAAAAGGTGTCTAAACAGGCCCTCGTCGAAGGTCCGTTGATCAGCGAACTGACTCATTCGTAGCGAAATTTCTGTTACTGAGCAATGTTGTAGATCGATGTTGTGGAGTTTTACTAACCTTTGTCGATCGGTTTGGAAATGTATAGAAGTGGATGTATGACAGAGAGGTAAGCCTTGATTCGAAGTGTTTGCATATAGTTAAGCAACTGTACATAGTACCCGTTTGGAAATTAAGTGTTATGTCCTTCACGCATAGAAAACCCTGGCTGGTATACTTTCCGCATAACTAACTTTTGTCCCGCTCATAATATATAGTTATGTGTATCTCCCTTTCATTTCATTGGAGCTGATATTATTATTACACTTTTATCTCTTATTCTAATACCAACAGTGTATTCGTCATTGTATAACGTCCTGAACTTGTTCTACATAGGCTTAATACATAAGCTGAGGTCATAATAATTTTAGCATACTTCAGCTTATTGCCTCCTGGACATATCTAGAAAACGTAGTCTTAAGATAGCTATAAGTGAGCAGGGACATCGGGACATTCAGAAGTGTCATAAGTTCTTCGGCACATGGCCCCTCAAGTTTAGCATAAAATAACTAGGATTTGTACTAGCTGCTTGATACTTCGTCAGAAAAATTGGACGTGGGGACACTTGACGGAGGCTTCATGACTCAAAATTCAGGCGTAGTCAATTTATCCAACCCCCTCATTTTATATTAAACAGCTGATAATTAGTACGCCGCTTCTACGATAGAACGACCCAGCATAAGCCACTTGGAGGTCTTATAGACTAGGGAGTCCAAAGTACAAGGTTACGCCGATGATTCTAGTAGCATAGAAAGGTGTAATAATACCTCATTCTTACAGACCAAACACTACTTGCTACAACATACAATAGGTACGAACAACGTATTCCCGATATTGCTACTCATGCCATTACTATTTCTTTACCTGGAGGTTGTCATGATCCCCCTGTATTCATATAGTGTGGCAACGTGGACTGATATACACACACCCAATATTCCGCGCCGCGTATGAATGACAGGTTGAGTGAGCTTTAGCGAAACCAACTAAATTTTGCCTAGGACAAAAAATCAAACTCAATGTTACTTCACACTTATGATGTTTCCCTACATCTTTAGTTAGAAAATCACTCCAAAAATATAAAAATATATTTTAACAAAAGCGTTATCTAAAAATCAAAATTATTCTTGCAAAGAAGTAATTATAGATCAAAATCAAGTTTTTCAGCTTGAAGCGTCGAATTTAACATTGATTCTGTGCCAACAGTTTGACAATAAGCCGCGAATGTTTAAAGTAGCTGAGCAGAATTCCGGTTGGGTGTTGTAAGAGCTATCAACAGCCGAACACACAAACTCTACTTCACGAATATCTTCTGCAAAAAATTAATTACAAAAAACAATCTATTTTAGGTTAAGAGATACCAGTGATTAAAATGAAGGATAATTTTTAATTGACCAATGCGAACAGTATGCATGAAATAAATTAATTTTAAATCGCTGGATTACAAAATCATAAAGCATCACACCATTATACTGGTTCCGGGAACATGATAGTATATAACCAAACCGTTAAACGTCGGCAGCTTCTGGTTTTAGTCCCAAATATGAAAACTAGCGCAGAAGTATGAGTAACAGATTCTAGAATAATCGGATGTGAATCTTCGAATTCAGTTGAATTGCCTCAACCATAGTCAACGTTTACTTACCATTGCCATCAATTCCGCATTATCAAACACTAAACGTAGTCAAGACTGTAGGAAGAACTACGAAAAATATCTTCGCTCACTTAATATCAGAGTCCACAGAATACATGTCTGGCATAAAGATGCAAGGAATAACTGAAATCCTTGTACATTAAAATGTACGACACAATACAAACCCAATCGAAGCTTAGTGCAACCCAGTATATTTGGACATTTTGTGCATTACGCCGAGAGCTGCACCGAAAATGTTAGGGACTATGATGATAAGCGGTTATGCAAGTTCAAGTGACTGAAGAGATCTTAAGCTTATGAGGAAATGTCTTGATAGTGGACGTTCAAACCCAAGTTCTAAAGTACACAAATATTATAGCGGTTATCGCCAACTACGTACACAAATTCCACCCTAAAACTATCCGAACCGCAGTCACAGCTCTCTGAAATATGAAAGTAAGACAAACAAAAAAATCTGTAAGCACTAATAAACACTTGCTTGGAATAGGAACCTCCACAGTCCATATTGTCCACGCCCATTGTTTTACGCTCCGGTTTTTTAAAGAATGAGGATTGTCTATGTCTGTTACATCACCTTCTGCTGCAGGAGGACTGGCTGGTGACAATTTCGCTTCATACCAAGACCTGCCACCATCCGAAGAAATGCGAACAGAAATGATCCCACGCCCACCTCCGCTGAATGCATAGCTAACGTGTAAGGTCATTTAACATGTATAAGTGAAAAACATTATATGAAACTACATATGAATCGTTAGCATGAGATTATCCTCTATATAATTTTCCCTTATTTCAGGTGATAAAGTGCAATTAATATGAAAAACCATAGTATTAAAGAATGATAGAAATCAATTACTTTATAAGCTTGTGTTTTGCTGAGGATAATGTAGAAAAAACAGCGAATCCATTATAATCTCTAAAAATCGACATTACATCGCTTAAAAATATTTTTGCCGAATTATTTTGTCCTTTATGAACGCTAAGTGATTCATATCACCAAATCATCCTCAGTTTTTTACGGTTCATTCTATAAACAAAATTACAACTGCACAATAAGTATCTTAGAAAATTAGGACTGAAAATATCAAGATGCAAAAGGACCACCTATAATAATCACCACTTTATAAGCAAAGGTGGATAGTGGCTAGCAGTGGAATCCAGGACGCGCGTTTTGTCCTATTTGGGACTCGTCAGCTGGATGTACCTGCATCTCAGAGTTGATGCTCACTCTGGGACTCAAACCCAGTACCTCTGCGCCCCAAAAGCCATCGCGTTATCTACTTAGCTACTGAGTGCTGATAGACACTTGCTTGTGCAATGAGGCGAACTGAAATTCACTTGATATTGTTTTGCTTCAATCTTCCCATTGAGATTTAAGACTGCAATTGATCAGTCTCATATTAGCATATGTGCATCCTGGGTGTATTGCCTCGACATTGCCTTAATTTGCAAGCATTATAAGCAAAGATGGATAGTGGCTAGCAGTGGAATCCAGGACGCGTATTTCGTCCCATCAGGAGTCATAGCTAAGTGTGTAATGCGATGGCGTTTGAAGCGAACGGTACTGGGTTCGAGTCCCAGAGTGGGCATCAACTCTGAGATGCAGGCACATCCAGCTGACGAGTCCAAAATAGGACAAAACGCGCGTCCTGGATTCCACTGCTAGCCACTATCCATCTTTGATTATAATGCTTGTAAATTAAGGCAATATCGAGGCAATACACACAGTATGCACATATGCCAATAAGAGACTGATCATTTGCAGTCCTAAAACATCAATGGGAAGATTCAAGTAAAACAATATCAAGTGAATTAATCATCACTTTAGTTTACATCAGTAGCACATACCACAGTGGTAAGCGTCATCATAAAGTGCGACGAACCATTTCATTTGTGTAGTCCTCATAAGATTCCGCTTCCTGAGGTTTCAGATTCAAGATTTTTTAAGTGCAGTGGTCAACTATGACCTTATATTGATTAGTTAGTCAACAAATGATTGATTTACTAAACCTAATAACAGTAATTTGAACTACAAAATAAATCAATTAAAAACCATGAGATAATTTTTGTAAAGACCATTGAACACCTACCCTGACAAACTTACACTCCCAGTGTTTTTGAGAGTTTGGCCATCAGAAGGTTTACAAATAACTGACTGAACAGGATAATCCAAAATAGCCGGTAAGCCCTTTAGATCTGCGACTTTACCATCACCCATCGGTAGAACATATTTATAATCACCCTGCTGCCAAAAGCTTTCACTTTCGTCTGTTGATAATGTAATCTAAAGAGTCAATATGTTTTACACAATAACCTCTCAAGGTAAAATAATAATATGATAAGATTCTCAGAAACTGGTACGGAGTAGTCTGTTCATTACACAGAAGTCGTTATTGGTAAACTAAACTGGTAATACAAACAATGTATGTAGAGTTCCGTATTCAAACGACCTGTAAACATCAATATTAAGCAGAGATGAATAGTGGCTAACAGTGGGATCCATAACACATGTTTGGTTTTATTTAAGGCTCTTAAGCTGGGTGTACCAGGATCCCAGAGTTAATGTCCACTCAGGAACTCTTATCCAGTACCTTTCACTACAAACATCGCATTATCTATGTTATATCCGAGCGAAGATTAAATCACGAGTAACTTCTGAGACATATTAATTGACTAATATTATCTATATATTCTTATGTATATTTATATTTCTCTTATTATAAGTTTTATTTTGACCTATAATTTATTATTGTACGATTTACTGTTCTTAAGCTATGTTCAGTTTATTAACTACTGCCTCCCACGTTCACAGCCACTTTCTGGCTTTATTGTGTATAAATGTTATTTCCTATTTTATGGTGCGTTGTGGTCTGTTTGGTTGATATATAAACCCAGTATGTCCGAAATTAATTATTCGATTCGCATAGTGGAAGCTGGTATTGGTGTTTCGAACTCAAGTGAACGGGCTAGGCAGACATAGGACCAATAATGATGCTAGGCTGTTCATACTGCTCGAACGTCATTGGTTTTGGTACAGTGCTAAGATAGTATAACTCGTATTTTGATTAGTGGATAAATCACGTGATAAAAAGTCAGACATAAAGTCACAACAATATATATATATATATATATATATATATATATATATAAATTAGAACTAAAATTCACCTCATTGCACAAGCCAGTTTATATATAAACTCAGTAGAAAAGTGGGTAGAGTGATGTTCTTCGTAGCACTGTATTGGCTACGAGATCCTGAGTGAACATCAACTTTAGGATGCAGGTAAATGAGGCTGAAGAATCCCAAAACAGACAGATTTCAATACTGGCCACTATCCATCTTTCCCTAAAATCCCTGTGACTAACTGGCTATATCAAGGTGATCCACACAGGATACATAAATGTTAAGGGAGATTGACTATCAATTGAAGTTCTTAACATCAATGGGAAGATACAAACAAACAATAAATATCAATTAAAATCATAGACATGAAATACAAATCCAGCTCTCAATTATAATTGATATTCAAAATTCAAAAACACAACTAAAACTTGAGACAACATCCAACAATACGAGAAAAATGTTTAACGTTACTCATACATTGGGTAATCTAAAGACAAAAAATCTAACCAAAATACTAAAGAAAAGTCCTTACAAGTAAACAATTGCTAGTAATAATCTTAATTAGTGTATTGTTATAGCTTCAACCGATTTAATAGTCATAAAAACATTAAAATTAAAATAGATATAATCCAATAAGGACGATGTCATTTAAACAAATATTCATAAATATGATCTATTAATCGCAACGACATATATGAAGTGATAACGCTTATGTAAGCTATATATCCCAGAGAGAAAACAAACTGATGGATAAGATAAAAGTAAGTTTTAAGATTACTGTTTACGCTTCAATAACACAGTAACGAGTTACTAAGATTTCAAGTCGAAACAACTGGCTCGAACAAAATTTAGATGAGGAATTTATGTACAATTGAAGTTACAACAACTCACTATTTCAAACCTAACTTTTGTGCACAAAGGAGTCATGTTCAATCCCTTATTCTTTTGTTACTTTAGCACACCTCCTAACTTTGCAAATCATAATTGATAATCATTACTTTATTCTTTATCTCTCTCTCCCTCTCTGCAGTTTTCCTTTGCAATGATTTTATAAATTATTATTTCTTATTGTCTTTGTAACTATTATATCACTTAATTCTTAAATAATTTTTGATCGCGACACTAATTTTACACAATAGTTGAAAACTCTCGATAATTTTAATTACTTTAAAGTGATACCCTTCTATTCATATTATAGTCAATACTTGAAATCTGTTAATAATCTCGGATTTCTTTATTAGCTAATGCAAAAACACTTCATTATTGTCGAGTTTTACATTCAAACATGGATACTTTGACTGTTTTTGATAAGTTTGTTGGATGACGTAACACTTCTCTAACGTATCATAACTATCAAATGTAAAAAGCTAACAATAAACATGATTATACAGCTCAAGAAATATTTTTTTCGTTGAAACGTCTTCAGAACTGTACAAGAAAACATGAATTAACAAGAAACATATCAGCTTCTACATTTAATCTACACAGTGAGAATTTTTGATCTTTTAAAAGTTATTAGACCAAGAATAGTGAGTTGTTAGACGACAATAATAAGGATATATAACATGCAATTAAAACAGTATCTATAGTACTTAAAAAGAAGATATATATTAGTGGCAGTAAGAATGTTGAAGACATCACAAAAAGGCAAACAGAAATTCCAACGTACATAAAAAATTAATAAGTTGTGTACAAAAATAATAATGATAAATAAAAATGGTATATTTTCAGTATTCCGATGAGCAGAAAAACTGAATTTCTGACGTTACGCGACTTAGTATCGAAATAAGTGTCGTACAACATTCAAGCCCAGTAGAGAAAATAAAGATTTTGCTGCAATTAATTCCTTCAATCTAATATCTATGTTTCAAAAGTGATAATACAACATACATTAGTTAGAAAACTAGGAAACAATGGACAGTTTTCTGGACGTAGTGTATGATCCCCTCACCAATAGTGCCTGCTAATTACTCCAAACACAATGATACACTAGATCTCCAGTTCTCATGGCAATTTTCCAACTAATATTAGGATTTAATAGAAAATTGTCTTTAAGTTTAACGAATCTCTACAAACTATTTAGCCAAATAATAGTCGTTTATTCATTAGAGGCCACTTTCAAGATGGAGTCGATCAATTAGAAAGTGGGCGAGTTACCCACTGGTGACACTGGATATGTATCATACTAATCATGAGTGAATGGAAGATCACAATGTAGCCTACTCAGTTTGAATGATATAATGCTTGCTACAAGTTAAGGTCTAAAGTTCAATAGTACTTAAGGTCGTCATAGGACACAGCTGAGAAGTTCGGCAATAAGAAAAATCAGTTATTTACAGTTCTTTCGTTTTCATTTACATTCCAAACTATATCAGCTTGTAAAAATAAACCATCTCGTGATAATTGCTAAGCAAAGTGTAAACCTTCATAAAATGGTTAATTAACAGTAGTTACATAAGAATAAATACTTAAAAATGTATGTGGTTTACACAACCACGGTCATCTCTTGAGTTAAGTACTCAATTGATGATTGGATCATAACATTGACAAAGACAGTTAAAGTAGTTGCAGTAACTTCTCTTGAGTGCAAAGTTTGTTTACGAAGAACTCAGGTAGCCTAAATTGTATGAGACACAGTGAGTGGTTTGCAATAGATAAGTGCGAACACTACTTAGGTCAAATAGATCGCTAGTCCATGATAATGATCGATATTTATTCACTATTCCTATTTTTCTTAGACTACCCTTGATGTAAAATAATCAGAAATCTAATGAACTTCTCGCTTGATTGTATGTGTGGCAGTGACAGATCTTGAATAAATGGAACAAGAATAAGAAAGGATACAAACTTCTTTTCGTCTACTTGAAAAGTACTTACTTGACCTAGCCATTTAACTTGACGAGCTCCAATAGAACCAGGTATGATAATTCTCAATGGGAAACCATGATCCCGAGTTAATGGCTTATTGTTCATTTCGAAAGCAATGATTACCTCCCTCTGAGGATCTAAAGCTAAATCAATTGGTAATGATGAACCAAAAGCTCCACCAGTAGGATCTATATCCAGTCCTATATTAAAAAAACGTTGGGAAATGTTAGAAAATATGAAGCCAATGTTATTATTTTTTTAAAAACCAACTAGGAATATTTCCTCAATGTTACTCATAGCAACTACTGATTAAATTAGTGAGTGTTAAAAGGATAAAATATGGCAATGATTTTCCTGTATATGTAGTAGCATGCCAAAATAGAATAGATAAAGGTTATTGGCTATAGACATGTACACCATATGGAGTTTAATAGTGTTAGACACGAGTCATAGTACCAATCAAATACAGAGCTACTCAATTTCCTCTGTCATTTACAGAAACCTACAAAAAGGAAAGAAAGAAGTTAAAAGAACAATAAGTGTTCATCTGAATTCCTTTTTATTTTTAGATCATTACAACAATATTTCGCTTTTTTTATACTTAGTAAATTAAATTTTTCCACATGATAATTCTATTAAGAACCGTATCTCAATGAGTTGAATATTATTTATAGAGAAAATTCAAACCCTGAAAACCGTATAAAAATGCTCTCAATATATAAAGCTAACTTTAACATGATTAGTATTTAGACCATTTAAATTATTACTAGACGATTTGGTTTACTGTAACCCCCCACACACAAAAAAAGAACCTTCTTCCCAAACTATATTCGATAGATGGTACTGGAATTCTTTGCCCCCAAATGCCCTGGTACGGCCGAGAGTAAAGAGAGTTCGCCCTCCCTCTCGAAACGCTCTTGCACGACCACGAATATACAGCCTCTGCCAAGGAAGTCCTACTCATTGCCTTCTCATGGCGAGGTGTTGTTTACGAAATTGAGAGGACGAAAAGCGAATGTTCGGCGCTTTAACCGGTTTGATGGACACAAAAAGTTCACCTAGGGAAGTTGGAAAACCCTGATTCCAAACCAATGATGCACATGGGCTCCAGTATCCTGAGGGAACGGATGGCGTATGAACCAATTGTTGGTCACCGTCTACCATGGGACTGCATCTCCTTACGTTGATCCACTGCCTTGTGGATCAGACCTTATTGGATATACCGTACTGGAATTCATATTGAATTGAAACAATAATAGTTCAAACAATTATAAAAACCATAAGAATTTATA